CTTTTCATGGTCAAAACCGGTTCCCATTGAGTTACGCCGCCCAAACCTAATTTTCACCTGGTTTCCCTATGCCACCTTTTTCTTTTTGTATAATAAGTGATGTGTCATGTTACTGTCCAGTCAAAGCACCTGTCTACCTAAATCTGCACTTTGCACAGCCCGCTATAACACAACATTTTGGGTCCAATATTGGATATCCCGTACAGCTTTATTTCTTTATTCGTTAGAAACATAACTTTCACACCTGCTGTCTTAAAGCAACTTGGCACTCTTCGTGCGCAAACTTAGTGAACATCTCACTCGCCTCCAAATATCATCGTTCCAGCAGTCATAGGTTTACAGCGACGAGCGAAATAAATTTCCCACTCAGAGCAATTATGGTGGCTGCCGTCTTGTTTTTCGGAAAATTGCTCCAATTCCTTTTTCGGCCGCAACTAGAGAAATTACCCCTAATTACGACTCGAACTCAATATATAAGAAGTGGAGAACAGCTAAATGCCCTTCTGCCCCAGCACTCATGCAACCGTCACCCTCAACTTATCGGCTCAAAAAGCAAAAGTTTCGTCCGTGCGCGCTTCCGCCGCCACAGCTTGGCATGCGAAAAGGCGCCGCAGGCTGCTGAACGCGCCTCACAGTCGAACGCCAGCTCCTCCGCTAGCGGCGCTGCGCGCGTTTTTCAAAGCGCCCCCTATAGTTCCCGCACGGAGTGTATAACTTGCATCGTTTTAGACAATAAAAAGTAATACGACCTTTGGGGCTTTAGTGCCCCTTTAATGCTTCCGCATTAATAAATAAATTAATGGACGGAGTGCGTTGAAACTTTTCGCAAAGGTCTCATTAGGTGGTGCATTTATCATACTCCCATTTTATGCGTGGGTTTCACAAAAAAAAAAAAATTGTACAGCCCATCCGCTTCACGTGGAGATGGAGGACCAGCGAAGCTGTTAGCTTTACGACAAAAGCTACTAGTTTCCGCTTGGCTACGGCGGCCCGATTTTCGTCGGTCATTTTCGCCCGGTGACGACGTTCACACTCCCGTTTCTGTTGCCGCTGACGCTCTAGACGGGCACGTTCTTCGTCGGTGAGTGGAGAGCCAATCGAAGTTGATGGACCCACACCGTCGGCCGCACCACGTTGGGCGGTGCAGCTGCGCGTTCGGCTTCTCGACGCTTTCGCACACATTCCCTCTGTTGTGCGCGCCGACGCGCTCTTCCTCTTCAGAGCGAACAGCACGCGGCCTACTCGTAGCGAGTCCAAAGGGCAACAGATAACGTCGCTAGGTTACGTCAAGAGACAAAGGAGCACGGCCATTGGTTGGTGGCTATTTTAGGTTTTACAGCGACTTTACAGCGAATTGCTATATTCACTGAATAAATTCATACATACATAAAGCCGATTAGATCTTTTAATACGCGACGTCTGTTCTAAACCCAATTTTTCGAGGCACACCTCGAAGACGGTTTTTTTTTTTTTTTTTTTTCGTATGAGCCGAAGTCTCATTATCAGCATCGCGGAAGCGAAAGAAAAGAAGGTTAGATCGGCGCGTTCTGCCCTCAGCCTCGTCACAGCGCACTCTTAGCTGAGATGATAACAAGGGGTCAGGACCTCACTCTCTAATAATGCCAAGGAAGGCTGACTCAGGTGGGTTGCCCTAGGGTGCCTCAATGTCCTTCTGTTTAGGGTGATGCCACCCTTTGTAGTACTCGATGCCGACAGCACGCGCTCACGGGGAAAATACAAAGAAATCAACGAAAACAAAATGTCGCCATAGCACGGTCAGCGCCACAGACGCGTGCAGGGACACGCTCTTTCACGCGCTTCTGAACAAAAAATAAATGTAAAAGTGGGAACAAAATGGCCAGATGTCTCCACCCTAAGCAAAGCGCACATGAAGGCACCCTAGGTTGCCCCCTCTTTTTATTTATACTTGCCATGACCAATCGGAACGAAAAAACGCCGTTCAAACTAAAGTTTTTTTTTTTTTTTTTTAAGAAGGCACGTTTTCATTTTTAAGCCCCTTTAATTGGTAAACAAAAAAAAATTGACATTCGCGCGACAACGCGGGCGACATAGAAGCGGAACGAGGGCTCGAGTGCCTTCATTAGCAAGGGCTGCAGCAGAGCGCCCCGCTTTGAAATGTGTACCACCTGCATGGGACACGCCGTAGATTTTGTTGCAGTACTGATCTAAATGTTCAACCCGGTCATGCAGGAACATATTGTTCAATTCATAAACATAGAATTCATAAAGACCACATTGCATTAAAATTGTACCAAGTGTGAGTTTTCCTCCGGGTTGTTGAGCTTTTGCCGGACCAGCACAAAAGTGGGTGAGCACTCTCTCCAGTGAACGTTTCTCCAGTGAACTTATCACCACTAAGCTTAACTTCGCTTAGACTTTTTTTTTTTCTCGGTGAGCTTTTTTGGGGGGGATTTTCGATTGGTATGCATTTTCCGCTAAATTTAGTTTAAATTTTTCCCCGCTAAATTTAGCGGGAAAATCTCTCCGTTAAATTTAGCGGGAACAGTTCCCCGCTAAATTTAGAGGGTAATTTTTTTCCTTAGTGGAAGGCGAGCAGGAAAGGAGGAGGGGAGGGTACGGATAAGAAGGAGGGGCATACCCTCCTCTCCGTACCTTCTCCTCCTCCTCCTCAAGAGCTGCGCTCGAATTCGGTGTTACAAGCAGGGGGGTAAAGGTGGGTGAGGAGGAGTGGCTAATCCCGCGCGCCGACATCCTGGGTCCCGAATGAAAGATCGCGAAAGAGAGCGACAGAACACGAGAGAAAGAAACCAATGTTGCCAGCTGAAGGACGACAGTCGCAATGGTAATCGCGAAGACTGAAAACTCTCAGCAATATAAACAGTGATGATTTAACGTTTCAAACTAAATTCTGAGCTATTCTAAGGTTTATAAAAAGCAGCATACTCATTACGCTGCATTAACTTCCCTTCTGTCGAAATCTCGATAATGTGGTAGTTGCCCGGTTTCGTATTTCCGGGCGCGGCCAACCACGCCCGGAAATACGAAACTAAACCAGATAACCGGAGCCGGTTCTCTGGTTTAGTTTAGTGTTGACGGGAGGCCGTAAATCTGCGTACTATGCAAAAAGAAAGCTTCCAAAGGAGCGCGAATATCTTTCCACCGTAAGTTCGTGGATTGTTGAAGTTCATGACACTGCTCTGATGATATATATGTGAAATCGAAGGCAGTTGGTAACCATGTGGGACCCAGAGGGTCTGCCTGCATGCTCCGCCGCTTGCGGCAGCCAGAATGCATGGGAAAATGGCGGACCTTTTCCTCTAGAGTTAGTATGTATGATCTCTATGGTTACAAGGGATTGTAAATGTATTTCTTTTTTTTCTAGACCGAGGCTTTTGTTCGTGAAATGTTAAAAGTGGGTGCTTACGAAGAAGGCGCTTCCGCGGTATTTCACGGTATATCTGAAATCGCAGGAAACGCTTTTCTCTCCTTCAAAACGCTTAAACACTCGGGAAGAGAGAAAAACAATGCGGAGGGCAAGTTCGTCTGCTTCCTTTGCAGGGGTTGGTGACGTCAGAACGCCGAAGTCTGAGCTGCCTTGAGTTCTACCCACTATCCTTCAATCAGAGCCAATCAAAGCACGGCGTTCTGACATCAGCACAACCCCTGCGAAAGAGGGAGACAAACTTGCGCTCCGCAGACAGCCCGAGTCCGACTGCCTCGTGCAGAGCGCCCGCTCTGCACGACAAGCACCAAATCGGCGGACCCCACAAGACAAGCGAGGAATGGTATAACGATAATCTATATAATCTAGATATATCTAGATTATATAGATTATCGTTATACCATTCCTCGCTTGTCTTGTGGGGTCCGCCGATTTGGTGCTTGTCGTGCAGAGCGGGCGCTCTGCACGAGGCAGTCGGACTCGGGCTGTCTGCGGAGCGCAAGTTTGTCTCCCTCTTTCGCAGGGGTTGTGCTGATGTCAGAACGCCGTGCTTTGATTGGCTCTGATTGAAGGATAGTGGGTAGAACTCAAGGCAGCTCAGACTTCGGCGTTCTGACGTCACCAACCCCTGCAAAGGAAGCAGACGAACTTGCCCTCCGCATTGTTTTTCTCTCTTCCCGAGTGTTTAAGCGTTTTGAAGGAGAGAAAAGCGTTTCCTGCGATTTCAGATATACCGTGAAATACCGCGGAAGCGCCTTCTTCGTAAGCACCCACTTTTAACATTTCACGAACAAAAGCCTCGGTCTAGAAAAAAAAGAAATACATTTACAATCCCTTGTAACCATAGAGATCATATATATGCTCCGAGAACTGATGAAGTGGAGGAGTCAAGAACGCGCGGGGACGCCAGAACGCCGAGCTCTGATTGGATTGATTAGTGGGTAGACCTCAAGCTATCTGCCTTTGTTTCCAATGCACTCGTCCAACGCATTCGAGGGCGAAAGCCAAACGTCGGTCGCCGGCGTTCCGCGTTCGAACGGATTCGAAGAGTGCAATGCAGACAAAGGCTGCTAGATTTTGGTCTACCCGCTAATCATTCCAATCAGAGCTCGGCTTTCTGACGTCCCCACGCTCTCGTGTCTCCTCCTCTCCCTCGCATTCTCGCACATATAGCTCTACTGAAACCTCAGAGGGGCAGATGCACCTTTGCGCTAAGAGACTTGATGTTACTATGCGGCAAGCGGCACGAAGCGACCTTTATTTAATTTTTTTAAACATTTTTCAGGGCAGCAACGTGCACGTTCCCAGTGCATAAAGTAATCGATGCGCACTACGTAGAGCACGCGAAGTGCCAGTTATAGCGGGCTATATGACGCGAACGGCGATGTACACTTGACGTCAGGTGTCTAGAGATGTGGGCTACGTTAGGACACCGAGAGTGGTATCAGGTCTTCAGAGGCTTTCAGGCAGTGGCGGATTCAAGAGGGAGGTCCGGATGTCCTGACCCCCTTCTTGAATTCTGCATGTGTAAAAATTTGGGGCGAGGAAACATGGGGGGGGGGTTAAACATGTGATACGCTGACACCCCTATCTGGAAATGCCTGCGTCCTTTAAGGGCAGGTCAGGTGCAAGAAAAACAACATACATGCTCGCGAGTTCCTTCTCGTTCGCGTCATTCATTTTGCCTTCGTCATAGGCCAATAAGTGCTTCGTGTACTATGAACCGTGGCAGAGACTCGTGGATTGGCGTCCACGCTGTGATCAGACGTCCGCCGATTCTTTGGGAACTAGCGTGTCGCGGTCCGACGTGCCTCGGGCCACCTCCTTCATGGCCCTGATCTTCTCGATGATGGCCTGCTCGTCCCTGTCCCTTGGCACGCCCTTGTAGTTGAGCCAGTTGTCGTCCTCGACAACCGCCAGCGCGTACGCGGCAGCCACGTGCAAGCCCAGGTACTTGCGCAACGACGTGACCGCCTCCGGAAGATGCAGCAGCTTCATGTAGGGTCCGTCGGCACCCAGAGATTGGTACGCCTGCGGTTCCAGCACCCAGGCGCGGGGGAACCGAAAGAGAGGAAGACAAGTTAATTATTGTTTCCGACCTTGGTGGTCACTCTCTGTTGATAAATAAAGAGAGAGGGAAGTAGGATGCGGTGGAAGCTAGTCGTTGGACCTGTCATGTGTCTATTTCGCCACGTGGTCACACTCCCGCCAATGCCCACGTGCAGAGAGCAGGGACATGATGAAAAGGAGGCAGTTGATCGGTCGGGTGAACGCGTAGCTCCCACCGCACTGTTAGGTTAGGGATGAACGAACTGTGAGACTGTGCGATTTGCGCCTATTGCGAGTCTGTACCATTAACGGATACGACGTCACCACACACGCGCACCCTGAGGAAGGCCTGCAGGCGGTTGTTGTTTGCACGCAACTCGGGGACGGCGTCCAGGACCCAGGAGTTGCGCTCCGTGAGGAACTCCAGAACCAGGTGGACGTGCTTCATGCCGGCAAAGCGCCAGCCCACGCTCACGTACTCCTGCAGCCGCGCCGCGGGCCCCGCGAAGCGAGCGTGGAGCAACGCCCGGCACACGGCGGCCCGCGTGTACGGCCACTGCTCGCCGAACTGGGCGATGGCTTCCGCCTGGTCGGCCTGGTACAGCGGCACCCGCGGAGGCGCCGACACGGCCGGGAACAACGCCACCAGGTCGTTGGTGCGGTTCTGGAACCAGGTCCTGCGTCGAAGGCACCAACGGGGAAATACAGCCGACAAGGGAAGAGTCGGAAGACTTCCGGTGGGATTTGTATCTACCATAAAGAGTTCCTAATTAAATTGTACCATCGCATACAACATAAGCGTGAACAACATGTCGATTTTGTTCAAAAACCTGCTAATTTTTGAAGAATCTCCGATCCCAATGTGAACTTTAATTAGGTCCCAGTTAGTGGCGTGGGGTGTTAAAGGGCCCCCTCAAAATGGAGCATTGCACCGGGAAAGGGAGCATAGGTTATGCACTCTTTGCGATTACACGGTTTTGAGATTCAAGCTTCCCGACAAGAAGATAGACCAGAAACACTATTTCGTGCCATAACCTCGCGCACCCTCGTTGTGGGGATAGAAGCGGTAAAACTCTCCTTGAGTACTGATTTGCGTTATTTCTTGTAATTTTATCGAGCAGGGGCATGTCTGCCACCAGACGCGGAAGGTGGTGTCACTGTTCTTTTGTATGCATACAACGCGTCCACACTAAGGCTTCATTAAACAATCGGCGTTGCAACGCTCCACCTATTTTTGTGAACTCTAATCGTGCTTCCAAAATAGTTTGGAGAAAAAAAAAACATATTCTGAGGAAAAAAAATGTTTACATATAAGATCAAAAGACATTTTGATCGATTTTTTTCACCGCCTTGGAACTTGCGCGCTGGAAAAGCGAATGCTTGCCTGCTAAGGTTGGAGCCCTGGACGCGTGGGAGGTTGCACAGCATGACACTGAGCAGCAGGTAGAAGTCGTCCATGGTTGGCCTCGGAGCGTCTGGGCCGGGGGTGCAGAGCGAACCGAGCTCCCGTTCCAGGAACGCGTCGGTCACGGGAACTTCGTCCAGCCACAGGCCGTCGCGGTCGCTGGCCTGCAACACCTGCGCATGTCCAGGCATCCCAGCCTTTGAAGCGCATCCGGAATCTCTTGGGATGCGCGGGAACTCCCGATGTCTTATTGTGACGCGCGATTTCAAGACACACAAGGCGCTATGATTAGCACTGGTTAGCACAGCGGCATGTCGCTTTGCTATACGGCGAGTAGGTTGATCAGCTTCTTCAGATGCAACCCCACCGTGCATGACGTTTTGGCGCTTTTTTGAATGTTTATAACTTTTTGTTTATGTATACTACAATTATAAAGCTAATGTAAAAATAAAGAGCTGTTTTTCAACATTACTTTAATGTCTCGATATTACGATTATTTTAGTTGTTAGTTTACTCAACTTTTAATCGACCACAGTCTAATACTGAAAAATATTTTTTCAAGTTATGACGTCGCATCGTCCACGATGTTTCACGTGAGCGTACGGTTGCATATAATGAATTAAAAAGTAAGCAATCAACTGTACAGATGCATATTTTAAAATGGTATTACTTTATGGTGCTATAAAAACGGAATCACGTCAACTAATCAAAATTACTAGACATTAGATTATGAGGCATCCTTCATTATTACATTTTCCAGTACTTCCATATTGATATATTACACGTTAAGAATGTTATTAGACCTAAAACTTTTCCCATTCAGTTACGGAAAATTGTAATTTGTTAATATAAAATACAGATGGTGACACGTGTTCAAGAATAGCTTGATTTGCATTTTCCGTCGTGTGCCGCTTGGAACGCCACGTGAAAGACAGAAAAAGCGCCAGATGTTACGGAGTCAGATGCCTGGATGCCCGCAGTGAGTGAGCCAGAGATGTCAGAACAACAAGCGCGAGGCTGCGGGTGCACCGCAGCTGCTTTTGGGCGCATTTCACTGTGCGTAGGTACACATGCCTGACGAGATCCAAATGAGTTATACTCCGTTTCATACTTAGCGTGCAACGCTGTCAAAGCTCCTGGCGCGAGCGCGTGGCTTCATCTATGGTTTTGTTTGCGCGAGAACGCGTGCAAATGATCAACGAGATCAAGCCCCGTGCTCGCGACAAAAGCTTTGACAGTGTTGCACACTAAGTATGAAACATAGGTGCCATGAAAGGGATTCCGTTATTTAGGATTCCGCCACGTATGCGTAAACATTTGAATCTTTTTATCACTTGCAAGAATCATTTTCGCAATTAAACCGTGCTTGTCGGAATGGTTCAACTATGTTTCGTTTAAAAAACCACTTCGGTGTCTCTTAAATTGCAATGATTTTAAAACAAAACACAAATCATTAAAACGACTCAGTGTCTCGGAGCCAACGCGCTGGACCATGAATTCATATTTGTCGGGTTTAAATATCGGTTGAGGTGCCCGCAATCTGACAGAGGCCAATCTGAGATTTCGGTTGCACGTCAAAAGATCAAAATAAACCCGCAATTTCTTTTATTGAGGCGTGTTAAGTGATTTTTTTTTTTTTTTTTTTTTGGTTTGGCTTGTAAAACCCTAAGATCTCAACAGTTGCTTTGCTTTACAAAGGCCCGTTCACACGATGCATTTTTCTTCGGTTAGTTCGGAGCGCAGCCGACGCTACGGGCTGATGATGCCACTGAAGCAGTGCCAAAAGCGCGAGATCAAGCAGTTGGTTCTTTTTCTGTGGCTGTGCGGTCGGGCTAAACCAGAGCCACTAAATAAGCTACGCTTCATAATACACATCTTGGTGCTTAAAATGATGGTTGTCAGTTATCTCAAGCTTTATCTGAAATCACATGAAACGCTTTTCCGTCCTCCACAAATGTTTAAACAGTTCGCGACAAAGCAAAGCAATATTACGTGAACTTCCTGACACCGAAACTAATGCTGAGGAAGTCGCACTTTTGAATCATGACGATCGAAAGTTGCGTTTGATTTATTACTAACCACCAAGATGGCGGCGCCCACAACAATGATAATTGGGGTTGTGTGGATATTTATACAGCGAGTCGTTGGTCAGCCATTTTAAAGTTGCGACGAGCCACTCGCTGTAGATGAGCAATTTAGCCAGTGCAGTACAACCGCTAGCCAGAGGTCTTTAACGTGCACCACGCAGTAGTGATACACGACCGCACGCCGGTACGATGCTCATCCAAATCAAAACGGGCAGGGGTGGGGATTGAACCCAGGATCCCTGGGTTCTGCAGCGCGAGCTTTTGCTCCACGTGGCCCACAACAATATCGGGAAAAAGAGTGCCAATCTCCTTCGGTTTGTTTAGCTCACAGGTTAAACCTCGTACGGTGGGATCGTTGGCCGAGTGTGTTGTGGCACCGCATACCAGAGCACGCGGAGAAATGCGCGAGTGCGAGCCCACGCTACAGAACCTGTAGGCACTCAATCCCCTCGACGTGTTTGCGTTGGTCTTTCAAGCAACCTCAAAGGTGCCCGTGCACGAGGCCCGTGTCTCCAGCAGCCCTTGGAGGCACATGGCGGCGCAGCACTAAAATGACTCGCCCTTGAAAGCGAATGGCGGTGGAGCACACGTTTGTGGCACGTGTCTTGCGCGTTTCCACAACAATGGTTGGTGGTACTTGTAAAAAAAGCCTTTCTCAAGGGTCTTTAGCATGGACCCTGGGTTCCATCGCCCATCTGCGTCCTACCGTCGTGCGATCGTGTATCACATTTACTGCGTAATGCATGTTGAAGACCCTGAGCTAACAGTTGTATTGTACTTTTTATAATCTAAAACGGGTAACAATGTCGCCCTGCGAAACTCCTGCTCTCTAAGAAACTAACGACTAATTTTGAATGCGCCGTTACATCGCACTTTTAATGTGTTCGCGTTCTTTTCCTTTCTTTTTTTTTTGTCTATATCTTTGATCATGCGGCTCTTCCTTACGATGAAACATACTATAGTTGTCGGACTTCTGGAAAAATAAATAACTGAGAAAAGGGCACGTGAACACAAAAGACAAAAACACACACATGCACACACATACATACATACATACATACATACATTTTATTGACTCAGTGGGACTATTAAAGACAGATATGTTTGCGGGCACATCAAAGCCAGCGAAGGGCTTGTGGGATGACACCCTAAAAAAAATTTAGAGAAGTCCACTTAAGTGACAAGGTAAAGGCATTGCCTTCAAAATGAGAACTGAAAGATAATAAAACTTTCCCCACTCCCCCTCCCCCACCCCAACCCCCTCCCCCCCCCCCCCCTCCCCCTCCCCCTTTCCCGATTGTAACACAGAGTACTAATTAAAAAAAAAATACAGCATACGAAAGCAATGTACAAATGAATGTAACAACGTAAATAGAATTAACACTTACAGACGCGAGTCCCAAATAAAGTGTAACACAATGCACGGAGACCGAAAAATAAAATAGAAAAAGAAGAGGCAACATTTCGAATCTGCGGTAGCTATAGCAACCAGCACATCAGGATCGTCATAAACGCACACGGAGCAGGCACTAAATACTATCAAGGTTAAGACACTTGAGTTCTTTTTTTTTAGAGTTTTCAGTGATGTGGTCATAAAGTCATAAATATAGTCCGGGGGGGGGGGGGGGGGGGGGGCGTTGAAGACACGGGGCACATAAGATTCGCGCGTGCATTTACCATACCGGGTGCAACAACGTGGCACTACAAAACGAGGAGGGCTGCGTAATGTGCGGGACGAATGTAGCGGTGTCTTGTAATCACTGCTCCGAAAATTGCGGATGAGGACGGTCTCAACAAAAAGTGAGCGGAAATTCGGTAGTTGAAGGCTTTCAAAAATGTCGGCAGTGGCAGAAAGAGGCGCATTGTAGAGGATGTTCTTCAGTATGCCTCTTAATAAAGTGTTAACTTTTGCCTGCCAGCGGCCTGAACAGATACCAAACACTGTGATTCCGTACCGTAGCACACTGTAGGCAAGCGCGTGGACTAACAAAAAAAAACGAACACTGATGGGCATAAACATCCGTGTGTTATAGAGCATACAAGATATAGTTCGTAGTTTACCGCATAAGTAGGACATATGAGTGTTCCAGGACATGTCGAAATCAAAATGAACACCCAAATATTTCACGTTGTTAACAGATTTGATCGGGTCACAGTTACACGGATGGCAGCATGAGGAGTGGAGAATAAACCTGAGAGTAGCTTGGTGTCTTTTAAGGGGATTGCGGAAGCAAACAAGCTTTGTTTTGGAGCTGCTGATGTCAAGAAGGTTATCCGCAAACCAGTCCATTAGATGGGTGGCATTCGTCTGGAGAATGTTGACTGCAAAAGGGAAATTAATATGACACGAAGTAAGGAGGGTGTCATCAGCGTACTGATAGATCTTGCAGCTATTGATAGCGCGAGACATATCACTGACAAAGATATTAAAGAGTAGAGGTGAAAGAACAGATCCTTGAGGTACCCCCGCTTTTAAAGAAAGGAGAGAGCTTCTGAAGAACGATTAGTTAGAAAATTCTCTAATAAAGAATAAAACGGACTTCGAAAACCTAAGCGTTGTAATTTTTTTAGAAGTAATTGATGACTGACAGTGTCAAAGGCCTTAGATACATCCAGGAAGAGCGCACAAGCGAACATATTATTATCGAACGTTGAGTAGAGGTAACCTGAGAAATCGTCAAGAGCCGGTTGGGTGCCTCTTCCAGCCACGAAACCATATTGGGTGGGTGAAATAATGTCATGTTTATCTATAAAGCCGTTCATCGACTGAAGAAGGTGTTTTTCAAGGGTTTGCCCTAAGATTGGTAAAATCGAAATAGGACGATAATTTTCAATTTTTGTTCGCGCAACCCCTTTGAAGAGAGGTCGTACAATAGCAACCTTAAAACCATCAGGTATTTGACCGCTCGTAATGAAGTCATTCAACATAACTAGGAGAACCTTCTTAACCTTAGCGAAATTCCGTTGAAGATCATTTGTGCGAATACCATCAGCACCGGGTGACTTGTTGCCTTTGAAACTAAACAAAAGAGAGTAAAGCTCGGCATCAGTTAACGGAGGAAGAAAAGCTGACGCTAAGGATGTATCAGCCAGAGTACATCGTTTGTCAACAGCGGCTCGAGTCACACCAGTATATTTACCAAAGAAGGCATTAAATTCATCTGCTAATGACGAGGTGAGTGAACCAAAATTATTTTCAAGAGTTTGGTCGATAGATTGTTTAGCCCCAGTACCTCGAGATTTGTTAATCAGTGACCATGTTTTGGCCGAGTTAAGCTTGTATTCTTCAAACTTTGATTTAAAATATCGTCGCTTTGCAGAACGAATGACAGCGTTGACGCAATTTCTGACCTGCCGAAATTGAATTGAAATTGAAAAACACACACATGCACACACATAGGCACACTTAATAAAAATAATTGAGATAATAGAATTGATTATAATTGTGTTTTAAAAGGTTTGAGCGCACCAAAAGCTATAGAAGCGAGCTCCATGCTTTATATGGTGAGATTGTTCACTGAAAGTGTAGTTCCACGCTCGCACTTGTATGTTCCGCTTCGCTTGCACAAAAACACCAAATACTAAATTACTGGTAATGCATTTAGAGAAACAAAGCATACCTTCTGCATATATGCAATGCCCTCAGTTTTCGCGTGATCACACGCTTGTTTATCATTATTTATTTTCGTTTCCCACTGCGATTCAGTTCGTGCTCTTTTGTGTGCTACATGCATTAGAGACCAAGGTAACCCAAGAGCATTCTATTTCGCGAATTGTAAAAAAACAAACAAAAAAACCTATGCAACTTGCCACGTGCGCCACAATCAATAAAAGATATTCTAAACTTCACACGTGACCGCTTGCCTGAGTAAAAAAATGTTGTTTGTCAAAAACAATTGCGATTGTATGAAATCACGTGGGAAAAACTCGTTCTAAGCACGCGACCGTTGGCATGCAATGAATACTCATAATCAGCGCCGAGATCATTGGTAGCTGTCAGCAGGTGGAGTTTTTCTATCAACCAAGAGTTAGAATGCTTCCTTCTTTCTGTTGTAAGCAATCAAGAGACAACTTACACCAAATCTGAGTGTAATAAAGTACTATGAATATCCAAACATAACGGCCTGAGCCGTTATGTTTGAAAATCGTTTACAACGTCCCTGTAACGCCGAATTAGAGCGCAGCTCTTGAGGGGGAGGAGGGAAGGGTATAGGTCACATGTTCTCGGGGGGGGGAGGGGTCACGTGACCTGGGGAGGAGTCACGCGACCTCAGGGGGTCACGTGACCTTGGGGGTCACGTGACCTCGGGGGAGGGTTACGTGACCTCAGGGGGTCACGTGACCTCGGGGGAGGGCCGGAAACGGGCGCCTAAGAGCTGCGCTCAAAAATGCACCACCTGTGATCACCGCTGTATACAGGGCGCATTTCAGTTAACTGTCGTTTCAGACAACGGGCCACAATTGGTGTCCGAGGAATTCAAGGTGTTCAGGAGCAAACATGGAGCCCGACACGTCGTGAGCTTACTGTACCACTCGAGCACCAAAGGCCCGGCAGAGCGGTTTGTGCAAACTCTGAAGTCTGCACTACGCAAGACATCTGCTGGTTAGTCTATCGAAGAAGCATTGCAACGATTTTTGTTGTCGTACCGCAATACTCCACATTCCACAAGAGGAGGCTTCAGCAACCTCAATGATGGGGAGAAAATTGCGCACAAAATTTGACATATTCAAGCCTTCGGTGTGTATATGTGAGGAGGGGGGGGGGGGGGGGGGGCAAGGTGATATACAAGCAGTTCACGCAAAAGACGCAGCGGAGGACAAGCAGGGGAGATCTCTACCCTGGTGACAATGTCCTAGTGCGACCGAAGTGGCTACGTGGTACCGTCTTCAAGAAGACGGGTCTAGTGTCATACCAAGTCCGGGTTACCACACCTCGGGGCAAGTTCATCTAACGTCGGCCCCTCGACGTTAGATGAACATAAGCCAAGCCCAGCTGACGGTAGAATCAGTATTTTCGAATACGGACGACGGTGAGAGGTTCCTGATCTACCCGTCAAGCGAACAAAATGTCCAGAACGTGGTACAACAGCCAAGACTACTCCAGCCTTCCACCATCCGGCAGCAGGTGTCCGTGCCTCCTTCATGCCCATCTGTCTCTGAAGGACGCTATCCGTCGCGAGCACCACATCCCCAGACACCAAGCTCGTTTCTAACATTTGAAAAAGGCTATTGTTGGTGCGGCCATGTAATTAAAAGGGAATGAGTGTTGTAGCGGGACAGCCAGGCGTATGCTACTGTTGTTAAAGTGGCGGCGTTCGTATTCTTTTTCGTCTTCATATCTTTGTCATGTGACAGCTCCCTAGCGTGAGCTAGCAGTTCTGGTTCCAGGCACTATGGAATAAACGTCGTTCTATTGTCCTCTGGTCCTTCCTGTGTGCCGCCTCGTCGAGACACAACAAGCAGCGTGTAAATAAAATATATTCCAGTGATAATACTTTGCCAAATTCGAATTGGATGTTGACTATAGCGCTACTTGGGTTCTGGCATTCAATAGCGACTTTTGGAACCGCCGATAATGATACCCGATGACGATACGATACATGCGCAAAGACGGCGGTGGAGGACTGAATATCGTTATCGGAGTCACCGGAACGATCTACTAAAACTCTCGAATGACCCCTTCGTCATTGCGGTTTGAATCGACAAAGGTGGAAAAGTCTTACCTTCTTGCCAGGAAGAAGGTTCCTCCCTTTCTGAAGCTAAAGCAGGTACTACTTACAGATAGTAACAGTCGCTAAGTCTTGTGAGAGTTAGTGCCAGTTACCAGCAAAAGGTAGTGAGTGGTACTAGGTTGGGTAGTATTCATTTTGAAAGAAACAGCGCGAATAACACACGGACAAGAAGGAGAGAACAGAGAGGACAAGAAGGAGAGAACACACAGAAGAAGGATAGAACACACAGTACAGGTTCAGCGCCTCGTACTGTGTTCTCTCCTTCTTGTCCGTGTGTTATTTACGCTGTTTTTAAAAATGGATTCATACCAACTTGCCCAACTTTCCATTCTAGTAATGGGTAGTATCCGTTACTAACTTCTTGAGTTAGTAACGTTACTGAATTGATCGGTATACTAACTGCAGTTACTAACAATTAAGGTAATGAATGTTGTGTCAAGCAGATACATAACTTCGAGTTAGTAAATACTAACTTTTCTAAGACCCACAGACACGCGCGTGCCACCGTCTCCCTGTGCTTTTTTCTTTCACGTCTTTTTTTTTTTTTTTTTTTGTGGGCGAAAATTACGTTTCTGTGTCGCATCCAGTCGCTTTAGGGCAGCAATCACAAAGCTAAAATAACATGTCTTCCATGTGTTTGCAAATTCCAGAGGTAAGCTCAAATTTCCCCAAAACTTTGAACACTAATAAACATTCGGAAGCGATCGAATGCGGCCGAAAAATACAACATACAAAATAACGCACTTTCCTCTTGAAAAAAAAAAAAAAAAAAAAAAAAAAAGACGTGCAGTGCACTTGAAAACACGGCGGAGCTCGCATGTCTGTCAAGGCAGATTTTTTCGTACCTTACGGTAGGCGTGCTCGCAGATGAGCTTGAAGAAGCCCAAGAGACAGGCAACGGTCGTTGAGGAGTCCATGCTGTCCACGACCAGGCGCACGCAGATCGGGTCGAAGAGCTCTAGAGGTGGGAACACGTACACCGCCTGCCTCGGAAGCACCGAAACCATGGAGGCGCTCATCTGTATGGCCAGAAGGAACAGTCGTTGGGGCCCGTAGGCCCAAATTCTTGCATCAGGATAGAGTTCAAATGCAAACCCTAAGCTCTGCTGGAAGTTAATAGTTCATATGGTACCGCTGAACTCGGACACTCGCTATCTTACATTCCTGAGTTATGCACCGGCTTGCCCCTAACTAAAGTATACCTCACCGATAACAGAAGGTCAACATGACCGGAGTTCTGCTGGTATTATGGTTTAGCTAACACTATAGGCTGCAAGATGCATGGCCTCAAAGAAGGTGTGACATGGTATAGCTCATCCGGTTGCTGCGGATTCAGCATTGCGTTTCTAAATTTGTAAGGAAAACGCGTCCCACATAATGAACCCACCGTCTACTATACACATTTCCAATGTTCACAAATCCACAGCCCAGCCTGCTAACTCTAAAGCTATAGCACGGGCATGTTCGTCAATTTGGAAAGTGAACAAAAGCATGCACTTTGTTCACTTCTCAAAAGGTGCACCGCGAGCAGACGACGCACCCTTGCGTCGGCTCACCGCGCCTATCGGAAGTAAGCGCCACTATTCGCTAACTTCGTCGTCTGCGAATAACACGCCCGCCGTTGAACCTGGCAGATTTGCTGGTCTCATTTTTCTCAGGAAGGGAGCTACGCCTCGGTATTTCATCGGGTAAAATCTACCACCTCAATGCACATTCGGTGAAAGTTTGAGCCCTATTTGTGCAGGTTTCGATTTTTTCTGCTCGTTAGCCCTGGTATCCAATGTGGACACCCCGTATATTATTGAAGCGTGCATAGGCACATTGTACGTCGGAATGACCGAAAAAGTTGCATGCACAGTGGCGATATAGTGCCGACAGAGGTGCAAATGACAAGTTTCGGGACGAACTATTTCTTTGTAATATGGAAGCCGTTTAGACACTAGCTGCGTTCGATTTACTTGCACCTCCTACACCAGAAACGTGCAGGGCAGTGTACTTCCGGCGTGCGTATTGAGATACGACCGGAAGTACACCGCCCTACACGTTTCTGCACCGGTACAGGAGATGCACGTAAATCGAACGCAGCCACTGTTACCCGAAAAGAACGTGGCGATCGTTTTCACTTCCTCGTAACATTTAACAAAGCGAAAGCTAAAAGAGGCAGCTTGTCCCCCATGTCTCTTTTCCCGCTTCTTTCACGCACACTTAGTGTGCACATAGGTAAATGTAAAAACAAACAAAAAAAAACACACACACAGAAATTCAGAAAAATTGAATATACTGTTGTATATAAGTGAAGAAGACGACGCGCAATGCAACTTCTCGAGCCCCTCGTGCTGTGCGGGCCAAGCGTGATCAGAAGCCAGTCAAGGGCGGCGATCTCTGCCCGAGTCACGGTCCTCAAATTCGGAACCCCCGAGCAAAATTTCGTCCCGATCCGACATCGGGCCGAGCCCGGCGAGCACTCCCACTGCCATGTTCCGAAGGAAAAAGACCAAGACTGAGGCTGAGAAGGCCAAGGATGCGTGAGTATTCACCGTTCCAATATTGAGAAATCGACAGCCTGCAGCGTGCGATCTCTACAGCCCAGCACGCGTCTGTTCGTCGCTTCGAAAAAGCGAGCAAATCACGTGCGTGCCGTACGCACCAACGCTGAAAATGACACCGGCCAGAAGCTCTTTCTTTTTTTCTGGAAAGGTCTAAACACGCAACTGCTTCGTGATGTAGTCGTAAAATGATTGAAATCTGGGCTAATGCCTCAGACTGGGCTGGTTTACTCTGATTCATGAATCATAGCCTTAAAAAGAAACAAGAAAAAAAACAACAACGAGGGAACAAAAAGAGGAATACTCACTTTAGACAAGCGCTTGTTGTCTTCACCACTGGTTATAGGTCACAAGCTCTAGCGATCTCATAAGACTAAAATCGTACACCCGCAATCCAGATATCGCTCAGAAAACGGAATTTAGGCGTTTCCGATAGCCCCACCGAGGGGGAGCTCACTGCGGGAAAGCACCGAGTCGTTGCGTTTAGACCGCCGCAATGTAAACAGAGCCTAAATGCGTTCACTGATGACACTAAAATAAGCTGATAGCCGTTATTTTAGCGGTGTTCTTCTGGGCTAGGGGACGCATCAGCAAGTCGCGATATTTCTCGTCCGTCGTGTACAAGCCGCGGTCGTGCGCGAGCTTCTGCCTTCGTCTGTTCTCGCACACTAACGGCGTCTGAGCCTCTCTCGTGCGGAATGAAGAAGCTAAATACACACCAACGAAAAATCCTTAACGCATTCCATTTTTTTTTAAGTTGTTTGATTTGTTTGGGCAGAGAACGCTCGCACGCACCACGACCGCTGGCGCGAGCCTCTTTACTACCCAAGTATTCTCTACTCCGCGACAATTTTTCTTGGCAATGCAGTGGAAGGTACAGGCCCGCGTCCCCTCTCCAATTTTGAGTGTACGCAGGCTCTCCTCCTCCCCCATTTCGGCAGAGAGGAGGAGAGCCCGCGCAAACTCAGAATGGGAGAGGGGACGCGGGCCTGTGCCTTCCACTGCATTGCCAAGAAAAGTTGTCGCGGAGTATAGTACACTGTATCTATAATATTGAAAGCCTGTCATGGCCGCTGGTGAGTTCGTGGAACGCGAACATGTGTTTTTATTCCAGACCGCTGGAACCAAGATTTAGAAAAAGGAGGATTAATATACGTTTTGCTATATTACCCAAGCATCAAGGATAAGGCAGGGATTGTTGTTCCACGCGCCGCACGTGCTGGCCTCAATAGTAGTAATTTTTCTAAAGCAAATACCTAAAACAAATGGGATCTTGCACGCGCGTTCGTCAACGCTTTATTTTGGTTATTTACTTCGAATCTTTTTTTTATACGGGGAAGCTTGCGCGTGAGGCGCATGGAACACCAATCCCTGCATTTTCCTTGATGCGTGGGTAATATAGCAATTGGTCTATTTGTGTCAGTTCAGCGTCAGCGCGGGAAACCCGAGCGGGCGCGGCGACCCACGACTAGACTGTGGAGCGCGCTCCCGAAATGTTTCGCCATTGGCGCCGATCAAAACTAGAAAAACCGCGAGCTTCAATAAATGAACGTGAGTGATATTTCTATGGGCCTGGCCAATAGCAAATGTTGTACACGTTCCTTCGAATGCTGCGAGAAACTGAGGCAGACGAGCAGACGAGAGCGGTCGAGGACGTTTGAACGCCAAGCTCTGCATGGTTCGAATGATTAGTGGTGGGGCTGGGCAATTGATCGATGAACCTACCGATCAATGAATACTTTTTTAATCGCGATTAATATTTTTAACCGGTTAATCGGTCAAACTTTGACAAACCAAAAGAAAGTAAAAATCAAATGTTTTCACCTCGCAGACAAGGACAAGAACACCGCTATGAAGGACAAACTTTAGGTGAAATTTTATCCTGAAGTAAACTGTAGGAGCAAGATTTGTAACTTCAGACAAGTGCAGAGGATTACACTTGTTTCGGCCATTTCAACGTCGTTCGAGTGTCCGTGAGGCTATTATGAACAATCGTAGAAGGTCCTTCTTGCAGGAGAATATCAAGGAACCCCTTTGCCTCATGCAGCTGAAGTGTGAGTGTGTGCGGCACCTGTGAGTGTGTCTTTAAACTGTTCTCAACCACATCGAAATCATTTTATACTCAAAAGTGTATATTGCGCCGTTTATTACATATTCAGCAAAAGCAAAAATCAATGTCATTTTGACTTTAAAAAATATAGTATGCATGGAAATGAACGAGACCAAATAATGGATTAATTAATCGTTTGAATGGTGGCGATTAATCGGGATAACTTTTAGTGGGTAGACCTTACGCTCGCCATTTTTGTCTCCACCGCACTCGTCGAACGTGTTCGAAATTCGTATGCGAGAGTCAAGCGCCAAACGCCGGCGTTCCGCGTTCTAACGCGTTTGGCTTTCGCATTCGAACGCGTTCGGCAAGTGCAGTGAAGACAAAGGCAGCGAGCGTCAGGTCTACCCATTAAAGGCCCGTTCACACTCTTGCAACCGAGTACGACCGAGAGAAACCAGACCGGTTTTTAAGCCTTCTGCGACTTCTTAGGACCGGATGCGATGCAGCGGAGCTAGTAGAGATTGCAAAAGGCTTGAAAACCGGTCTGATCTCTCTCGGTCTTACTCGGTCGCAAGAGTGTGAACGGGCCTTAACCGTTCCAACCAGAGCTTGGCGTTCTGATTTCCCCTCTCGTGTCCTCTTCTCTCTCTCTCTCTCTCTAGCTGTTTCTCTGCGCGTATAGGAACGATACCTTGCCTTTGTTCCTTCTTACATAGGCCTCCTGCGCTGAAGCTCTGAGCAAATTGTGGCGCCCTCATTTTGGGTAGTACAAGCTCACCTGACTGGGCCTCGCACTACTTATGACATCTTCGCTGGGCTTTGATCTTTCTTGCTGAAGAACGGAAAAACACCTTTCGACGTCAGAAACCGGTTAGATTCGACGCCCCAAGACAATCGAAAGTGCCAGATTCATGCCACCCTCGCTAGGGTATGCATTTCTTATCTCTGCGTCGTGACGTCAGAACATCTGGCGTCCCAAAACTTTATTTCTTCTTCTTTTTTTTTTTTTACTTTGTAACGCGTGAAACGGCGTCTTTTGCCTCATGCTGTTAGCGTCTTAGCTTTGACCTGCGCTTCGACGGCATTCGTATTTTTGTTGTTTCTTTGTATTTTCCTTGTGATCTCGCGTTCCGCGCCAAAGCAGGCACGCTTCTACATGTGTTGCAGTTTGAGACGCTCAAGTTTGTACTACCCAAAACAAGTCTTAACGAGTCCCTTTTCGTAGCGTCCCCTGGGCAACGCAGGAGGCCTATATGGAACAAGCTATAGAAGCTCTATGGGCACAAAATAAACGCGCCCCTACAGGATAGGAATATACGTGTGGCTATTAATGACTCATCTTGAAAACTACTGTATTAAAAAAATTATACAGTTGTAATGTCTTCTTCTATGTACTCCCCTCCCCTGTCCCTACACCGCTCCATGCGAATATTCCATGGCTGAAAGCAGTGCTGTTGTTCATCGAGTGATAAGCCCTTCTGCTTCATGACCTCCGTCGCTTTTGCCTTCGCAGCATGAACACAGTCAGAACTTTTTCCTTTACACCCAGACTTGATCTTGGGGAAGAGGAAAGTCAGATCCAGGAGAGTTGAGTACGGCGGGCGCTCCAACACTGTGATGCTATGCTAAGCCAGGAAGCACGTGGCCTGAAATGTGGAAGAACAATTCATGAATCATTCACCAGTACAACGCGCCAGCACACGAAGCCTTGACAGTCGTGTCGTTCCTGGCTGAGCACAGCATCACCGTGTTGGGGCATCCGCCCTACTCACCTGACCATCTGATTTTTTTCTGTTCCCCTTGATCAAATCTGGATTGAAACGAGAAATGTTTTATTCTGTCCATGCTGTGAAGGCAAAAGCGACGGAGTTGATGACCTTCGGGCTACAGCACTGCTTTCAGCAGTC